CTCTCTAGTCTCTGACCCTGTGGTCAAAAGGTTCCTTAAGGGTTTGGATAAGTTGTACCCCTCAGTTAGACCCCCTCTCCTTGCTTGGAACCTTAACCTCATGTTGTCTAGACTTGTGTCGCCCCCCCTTTGACCCGCTGGCCACATGCTCTTTGAAGCACCTCTCTATGAAGGTTGCGTTCTTTGTAGCCATTACATTGGCTCGCATGGTCTCCGAGCTGAGGGTGCTAACTGTAAACCCGCCCTACCTAGTGTTCTCGGAGAATAATGTGAGGCTCCATCCTCACCCGGCTTTTCTACCCAAGGTGGTGTCACCGTTCCATCTGTACCAAGAAATTTACCTCCCATTTTTCTTTCCAAAGCCCCATGCCTCTCCTAGGGAGCAAGTGCTCCACTCTCTAGATGCTAGGCAGGAGTTAGCCTTCTATGTCGATAGAACTAAACCCTTTCGTAAGTCCACACAACTGTTTGTTGCTTTTGCGGACAGAATGAAAGGGCTCCCTATCTCGACCTAGAGGTTGTCCAATTGGGTCGCGGGGTGTATCAGGGAGTGTTATGTCCTGGCCGGGAAGGTCCCGCCCCGGGTTACAGCACATTCCACTAGGGCACAGGTGTCCTTTGTAGCTTTTGGGGTGCAGGTTCCAGTTACTGAAATCTGCAGGGCGGTCTCGTGGTCATCAGTGCATACCTTTACAGCACACTATGCGCTGACACAGCAGGCCAGGGAGGATGCAGGGTTGGGCTCTGCGGTCCTCAGCTCCGTGTTATAAATGTGTTTTGTTTTTCTGTGCAACGTTGCACTTTTTTTCAACAGTTCTCTGTGTTCTGTTGTTTGAATAAATATGTTTGGGTTGTTCAACTTTCATGGACTTCTCTTTCTGGGTGCTCCGACCCCTCCTCCGTGAAGTGGGGTTAGCTTGGAAGTCACCTGATTGGAATGGACATGAGCAACCACTCGAAGAAAAGAACGGTTGCTTACCTGTAACTGTTGTTCTTCGAGACGTGTTGCTCATGTCCATTCGACTCCCACCCTACCTCCCCTTCGAAGAAGGAACTGGGGAGGGGGAGCATCGGCAGGGGTACTTATGCTCCACCATAGTGGTGCCACTCCAGGGGATTCTCCGGGAAAATGCTCCGGAGACGCTGTGCACGCGGTGCGCACACCTAATTCGAATGGACATGAGCAACATATCTCGAAGAACAACAGTTACAGGTAAGTAACTGTTCTTTTCCTTCCACTCCTCCTCTCCTCATTGGAGCCCAAAGTGTGTGTGCGCGCGCGCACACACACACACATACACCACTGCTGCCCCCTCCATGAATGTCTAGCCTCCCTCCCACCACCGTGAACCTCCAGCATTGTGAATACTGACCCCACACTGCCTGCCCTAACCTTTCAGTCATGGACAAGTGCTGAGAAGGGAACTGGAAGCAGGCAGGAGTGGATCTGGAGGCAGAGTGCGTTAGGTTGACCAGGCTGTTTGGGGAGCCAGCCCTGACCTATGCTGCTCGCCACCCATACTCAGAGGAGTGAGGCTGTGGCAGCTCCCTGTTACCAGAGCCTTTCTCCACCAGAAGTTGCTACCTGCAGCGTTACTGCAAGTAAAGACTGGCAATTGGGAAAGGCTCTGACAGTGGGGAGGTAGCCACAGTTGTTTTAACAGCTCAGCTAATGCCTTGAGTCTTAACTACAAGTAGGCTAATTTTCCTACTGACAACAGTTGCTAGCATAGAATTATCATGAGCCAATGATGACATGAAGGGGTTCTCTCAACAAATGGTTGACAGTCTCAGAATGGCCACCAGCTCTTGCAGGTGGCCTCTTTGACAGTTTTTCATAAAATACTTTATGAAAAAACAAAAAGAACATATGCATATCCAAACCATTATAACTTATTTATGCATTGGGAAGGTAGTAGGAAGTTGAGCTCCCCATTCAGCACATCCAGACTTTGCTCTTGAGCTGTAGTGATCATGGAGCAGTACCTCCTTATCCTTGCTGGGTGGCTGCCAAGTCCTGCAGCAGCCTGGAGATCTTGAGCTGCTGAAGTAGCTAGAACAACTTCAGATAGCAAGTGCAGCACCAGATGGGGGAAGAATCAATCCATGTCTCTGACTCTGACTCCTGTGACCCTTTGGTAAGAGCCTGCCCTCAGGAAGGTGGGTCAGGCACTCACCAGTTACTTGTGAAGTCCCAGGCTCCTCATGCCCCAGTCAGGTGGAAGTGGAAGAGCTGCTCAGGTAAACTCTCCAGTGAGTGAATGTTGCAGTTGCCTCCAGTCTTCATACACTTTGCCCTTTGTCTTTGGAGGTGCTGTCCTGAGCCTCTGAGGAGACTGTGTTGTAGAATGCCTGATCCCTTCTGGCAGTGCCAGCACTAACATGAAGGCAGTGCATCTCACTGCCCATTCAGGAGCAACAGCTGTGTGCTGTGGGGAGGGGCCACTGCTTTGCTCCTGCCCCAATCTTCATCCAGACTTTGGAGGCTGTCATGGCTGCAGAATAATCCACTAGTGGATGCATGTAGGAATGTAAGAGTTTAACTGTTTAAATGGTTAAGCAATAAGCTTACTGGTTTTTGTTAAGGCCTCCTGGAACATGGCTTATAGTATAAGCAGCCTGGTGTAACCTCAGCCCCGTGGGGTAGGATGGCCCAGCACTATTCTGGCCCCAGGTGGGCAGGGCAGGTAGGAGGGGGTACTGCACATGCTCTGATCCTGGCCGGCCTGACTTGGCTCATGCAGGCCAGTAGGACCCCGCCCCATGCCAGAGCGACCCAAGCCAGACAGGCAGCTAATCAGTTAAACATTACAAGTTTAATCAGTTAACCAGTTAACTAATTCAGTTGTTATTTACATACCTAATTGCATGCAGATATGGAGGCCACATTTGAGAATTATTTAGTTCAGTGATCTCCAACCTTTTTACACCCAAGATCACTTTTTAAATGCCGCCTGCCCCCTTCCTTGAAGCCTCACCCTCTCCATTATCCTCCTCTCCATCACTTGCTATCCCCAACCCTTATGCTGCTGCTGCTGGTTTTTTTTTTTCCCTCCAATTCTTCTGTAGGAAGAGGTTTTTCCAACATTTGGCCTATCTAGACTGGACCAAATGTCAGAAAAACCCCTTCTTTTGGAAGCCCCCTTATTCCTCGTGGAAAGAGGAATATAGTGGTGACCAAAAGAGCATGTTTGCTCTTGCACTTAAAAAAAGTGGAACAACAAATGCATCACTGATGCAGAAGAGTTTTTCTGGGATACCTCCAGAATCCTGAAAAACTCCTGCAGTCTAGCCGTACCCTCACTGGGTTGATATAGGGGTGTGGGAAGGGGTGAGGTGTGCAAGCTCTGGGAGGATATCTGGATGCAGGAGGAGGTGGAGAAGGGGATGCTGGCTTGGGGAGGGGGCTCCAGGCTGGGCAGTGTTGGGGTCAGATGTAGGGTTAGGGTACTAAGCAAGCCACAGGCTTGTGGATGTGAGGGTTCAGGAATATGGGTTGGGGTATGTGAGGGGCTCGGGCAGGGGGTTCCAGTGTATGATAGGCTCAGATCTAGGGTCTGGGATAAGGGGGAGTGCAGGAGTGTTATGATGCTGTGGCCAGATGGGGGCTTGGCCCCAATTGGGGGTTTGTTAGCCAGATTTCATTTTTAAATAAAATACTATGTCAAACACAAAAAGTTTCTGCATTTTCTTTATTTATGAGAAGGGCAGGGAAGCTGTTCTCTGTGGGTCAGTGACCCCTGACTCAAAAGTCAGTTGGGACTACACAAGTGAGATGCGCAAAAAAAAAAAAAAACCACATCCTCCAAGGTGGCTCTTCCCCCCCCCCCCCCCCCAAATGTGGCCCCGACTGTGCTGGTGGGAGCAGGAGACATGGTACTGGGGAAGGGTGCCAGTGGGTGCTGGGGTAGGGGACAGGGTGCCAGTGGGGAGAGTTCTGTGGCCAGGGGCAGGGGAAAGGGAACAGGGTGCTGGGATGGCAGGGTACAGGGTTCTGTGGCAAGGGGCAGGGTGTCAGTGGGGGCAGAGAGTCCCCTGTACCAGCCTCCTCCCAGGATTCCCCCCAAGAGGAGGAAAGCCCTGTCGCACGCCTCCTCCAGGCCCAACTCCCCCCTCCCGCGCAGCAGGGAAGCCTGCGCATGCACCCCCTTGGGACCAACCCTTCCCCCCCCCACACACACACACCTCCCTCAGAGGAAGGAAGCCCCATCGCACGGCCCCTCCAAGCCTGACTACCTCCTCCTGCGGAGCAGGAAAGTCCCAGCATGCGCCTCTAGGTACTTACCTGGTAAGTTCTTGGCACACCACAGACTTGGGGCAAGGAAGCAGCGAGTGCGTTTCTGGAACCCCTGGAAGTGACGCACAGCTACAGGACTTCCATCCACCCCGTGGGAAGCTTCCACTACCTCCATTGTTGCTTGAGGTAGGTAGTGGGGCTTCTTGGGGGTGGGGGGAAATCGAGGGCCTGGAACGCCTCGCGATCGACTGGTTGGTGATCATGGATTTAGTTAATGAAGTAGAAAGGAAGAACCCCCTTTTTCTACACTGTGACAGAAGGCAATTTTGTTCTGTCTACACTAGAAGTTAAACTATATTTAACATTTGCTGAAGAGGGATGGTTATTGCATTGTTTCAGTTTCTACACACTAATCCAGTAATTGCATCATATCTGTGAGCTATCTACTTGGACTTTTAAATGTAACCCTAAATTAATTCTTGGCTAATAGGTTTCTCACTAGACTAATTTAAAAGCTTTTATGATAACTGGTATTTGTTTATGAACCTGGTAAAACCTTATTAGTTTAAGTTTTGTAGCAATTCATCTAAATTTGGTTTTGGGAATAAAATGCAAGAACACCTTTTGATAACTCTGAAAGATGACTTAGACGTATAAGAAGAATTTAAATATTTTTAATTGTGCTTTGTATATTAACTGTTTTATAAATTATCCTGCCACAGTAAAGGGGGTGAGATAAAATAACTTTTTCTTTTTCTGGTAGGCATTCCCTGTCGTAAAATAAACACTACCACGGGGCTGTGTAGTGATGTTAGAACAGGTCAGAGCCACTGTGAAGCCGAGGTCCGAGGAGGTAGTGTCCAACCTACACTTGCTGGTCCTAGCGAAGGCATGGTCAGGCTAGGTGAGGCAAGTTTTCATCTACTTTGTTGGGGGTAGGATCTGAGCTGTTTGTTTTTTGTTTTAATTCATCATGTTGGCAGTGGCATTTCCAGTGGGAAATACTGCGTTTAAGGGGCTAATGATCTGTCTATGCTCAAACTCTAATGCTTTATCTTTTTCTGTTTTTAAATGTATACTACAGGCAGTCCCCGGGTTACGTACAAGATAGGGACTGTAGGTTTGTTCTTAAGTTGAATCTGTATGTAAGTCGGAACTGGTGTCCAGATTCAGCCGCTGCTGAAACTGATCAGTTTCAACAGCGGTGCGTTTAAGGGGCTAATGATCTGTCTATGCTCAAACTCTAATGCTTTATCTTTTTCTGTTTTTAAATGTATACTACAGGCAGTCCCCGGGTTACGTACAAGATAGGGACTGTAGGTTTGTTCTTAAGTTGAATCTGTATGTAAGTCGGAACTGGTGTCCAGATTCAGCCGCTGCTGAAACTGATCAGTTTCAACAGCGGCAATTTTTCATAAAATTAATATGGTTCAAGAAACTACTACTAGCTCAGGATAGTATTTTGAGAGAGACCTTGACAACTTGCTGTTACATTTCATTAAATAACATGGATACATGCTATATTTAGACCTTCTAACCTAACTTCTGGATCTAAAGTGTTAGAAATGTGAAGGATTTTAAAATTATCTTGCTAGGACATCCAAACCTTGGTATCATCCTGAATCTTCATTTCATACTTTAAAAGGAACAGACAATAGTGAATATGGGTGTGAAGTGTGTTATTCACAGCTCCCCTGTTGTGTGCGGCTGGCCGTGTGTTCCTTTGCTCTGCTCTGCTCTGCTCCCCCTCCCTCTGGTCTGCAGACCAGGCGGACGGGGAGCAGAGCAGAGCAAAGCCGCGGAGCACGCGGCAAGCTGACAACCCAGACGCGTCGGGGCTGTCCGCTGCCCTCGTGTTCCGCCGCTTTGCTTCCTCTCCCTGGTCTGCTGGAGACCAGAGAGAGGAAGGGTCCCGTTTGTAACTGCGGATCCGACATAAGTCGGATCCGCGTAACTCGGGGACTGCCTGTATATACTGTTTTTAAGTATATACTGCACATTCAGCAATACTTGAACATTACATATTCTTTCTGTAGTTTACTAGGGGGCTATGCCCCTGCTTGCTATGCTAGCCAAGCATTACAGAATGTCAAGCATTACAAAATTAGGAAAGGCAGAATTAAGGTTACACACGAAACCTTAATTTGTCCCCTGTATGCATGTGAATTATGATAGCCTTGTTTAACCTCACATAGGAATTCTGTTGCAAAGTCCCAAACACAACCAGACTCTTGGTCCTAGCCCAGTGCTTTAAATGCAAGAGAACATCGTTTCTCTTATTACCTTCTATTTCTTTCATTACTCATCCTTTGTATTGAAATAGACATGGTCTAGTAGAACAGATGATGTGTGATCATGTAACTAAAGATTATATCATAATCCTCTATGCAAAGGGCAACATAATTGAAGATGTGCAGGTAGCTTGACATTTAGCATTTCCTAATGTTCAGGTTCTTGACTTAAACGTGAGCAACATTCTTTTAATGTAGTTTTTGTGTGTATTTTCCTAGTTTTCTTCGAAAAGTCAAACAAATTATTCTTTCTGTAGTTTACTAGGGGGCTGTGCCCCTGCTTGCTACGCTAGCCAACCCCCCTCTTTCTGGGGGATAGGCAACCCCAGCTCTCTCCCCAGCTGCGTCAGCCATGGCTCTTTCTTTCCCCACCCTTCCCAGCTGCGGCTGTACCAGCTCTTCCCCTCCCCCGGTCGCAAGCATACCAGCCCCGACTCTTCACCTGGTGGCTGAGGAGGACCAAGGCCATGGCATGCCAGGCCCAGCTCTGCCACCGGGGAGGGCTGAGCCAAGGCTATGTACACCAGGCCCAGCTCTACTCCTGACAACCATGGAAGGCCAAGGCAACAGCATGCCAGCCCCAGCTCTGGCCCCAGCAGCCAGGGAAAGCCAGTCCCAGCTCTCCACGTGGCAACCGGGGAAGGCTGGGCTGGCAGTGGGTGGGGATTGGCTCCAGGGACAGAGCTTCAGTTGGAAGGGGTGGGACTTGGAACTAGACTTTACCCACCCATTCCTGCCCCCTCAGCCTGTGGCTGTTGTGATGTGATGGTGTCACTCTGTTGTCCCACAGGAATATATATATATTTTTATAGAGAGTTTGTAGCTTCTTTCTTTCATGAATCAGCATATGAACCCTGAATCTTTAACACTTCAACACAAACTTCAACCACTTGAGGTAAAAAATTAACCACAGTATCTGGCAGCTGCAGAATTGTTAGCCTCTGTGGCTCAATCGATATGTATCAAACTGTGTTTCTCTCAGGGACTGTTGTGTACTGTGTCCGCTTGTGTAACCCCATCCTTTGTTTTTTTTTTTTGTTCACCTATCCCTCCAATGCTTTTCATCCTCCAGAGAGCATTGTTGCCCCTTTGGTCCAATTGGCACTAGCCAGTATTTAAGGGTGTAGGGTTATTTCTTTGGGAGGATAAACTAATTATGCAAGTTGGGCATTTCACTGGTGCAGTCTTATTTTATTTATAAAGAATGTACATAAAGACATGTCTTCCTGAACACTGGAGAAACAAATATGCACCCGAATCTTCTGAGAGTCCTGTTGTCCAATGAGCTCTGTCTTGCTATGTCTCAGGACAATCCATACAACTGCTTCTCTTGCTGTCTGGTGACTTTGGCAAACTGTGTGTAGGTGAAGCAAAATGCAGGACAATGTAGCACTTTAAAGACTAACAAGATGGTTTATTAGATGATGAGCTTTCGTGGGCCAGACCCACTTCCTCAGATCAAATAGTGGAAGAAAGTAGTCACAACCATATATACCAAAGGATACAATTTAAAAAAATGAACAAATATGAAAAGGACAAATCACATTGCAGAACAGAAGGGGGATGCGGGGGGGTGGGAAGGGGGAGGAAGGAAGGTAAGTGTCTGTGAATTGCTGATATTAAAGGTAGGGAGAGTGGGATGTTTGTGAGTTAATGGTATTACAGGTGATAATTGGGGAAACTGTCTTGGTAATGGGTGAGAAAGTTCAAAGACTTGTTAAGTCCTTGTTGGTAAGTGTCGAATTTTAACATGAATGACAGTTCAGAGGATTCCCTTTCAAGTGCAGATGTAAAAGGTCTTTGTAGCAGAATGCAGGTGGCTAAGTCATTTAGAGAGTGTCCTTTCTGGTTAAAGTGGCAAGAAACTGTTTTCTCTTTGTGATCTTGTCTGATATCTGTTTTGTGGGCATTAATCCTTTGGCGAAGTGTCTGAGATGTTTGTCCAATGTACATAGCAGACGGACACTTTCGGCACATGATAGCGTAGATTATATTTCTGGATGCGCAGGAATATGTGTTCTTGATCTTATAACTCACTTGGTTAGGTCCAATAATGGTATCAGCAGAATGAATATGTGGACAAAGCTGGCAACGGGGTTTGTTGCAAGGGAAGGTACCAGGGTTGGTATTAGTGTGGTATGTCCTGTGGTGGTTGGTAAGAATCATCTTGAGGTTAGGTGGTTGTCTATAGGAGACTATGGGTCTGTCTCCCAGAGCCTCTTTGAGTATGGTATCCTGTTCCAATATAGGCTGTAGTTTATTGATAATGTGTTGGACAGGTTTAAGTTGGGGGTTGTAGGTGATGACAAGTGGTGTTCTATTGTTGGTTTTCTTGGGTCTGTCTTGAAGTAGATGGTTTCTAGGTATTCGTCTGGCTCTTTCAATTTGCTTTTTTGTTTCTCTGGGTGGGTAGTTGAGATTTATAAATGCTTGGTAGAGATCCTGAAGCTTCTGGTCTCTGTCAGTGGGGTTAGAGCAGATGCGGTTGTATCGAAGGCCTTGGTTATAGACGATGGATCGTGTGGTGTGTTCTGGATGGGAGCTGGATGCATGTAGGTAACTGTATGAGTCGGTGGGTTTTCTGTAGAGAGTGGTGTCTAATTTTCCATTGTTGATTTGTACGGTGGTGTCCAGGAAGTGGATCTCTCGTGTAGAATGGTCCAGGCTGAGGTTGATGGTGGGGTGTAGGTTGTTGAAATCTCTGTGGAATATCTCCAGTGTTTCTTGGCCATGTGTCCAGATCATAAAGATGTCATCGATGTACCGTAGGTAGAGGAGGGGTGAAAGGGGACGGGAGTTGAGGAAACGTTGTTCTAGGTCAGCCATAAAGATGTTAGCATACTGTGGGGCCATGCGTGTACCCATGGCTGTGCCGCTGATCTGGAGGTATAAGTTGTTCTCAAACCGGAAATAATTGTGGGTGAGAACAAAGTTACATAGGTCTGCTATCAGGTTGGCAGTAGTGTCCTCTGGGATAGTGTGTGTAGGTGTGGTTTACAGGATCTTTCAAAAAAGCCTGCCATTTTCAAAAGAACTGTGTCTAGACTGCGGTTTCAATTTCGAAATAGCGCTTTTTCAAAAGAGCGGCATTATGTGCTTATGCAACTGAAGCGCGTGATATTTAAATCCTGGCTTCATTTGCAGTTTCGAAGTGCGTCATTTACATCTCTCTGTTGACAGAGGGATGTAGTCTAGACATAAGTTTCCCTTTGGCTACATCTGAGACTAAGCTTCTTGACAAGATTGACACACATTGGAAAGTACTTAACAATAAAAGTCCCTTCCTCTCCTCCCCCCTCCTTTTTTTGCAAGAACACAGACCTAATTAAGTTTGCCTGCCAGTTTTTACTTATTGTGAGACCTTTGATTTAGAAATTATCTGTGTTGCCTTATTGTACAAAATAACGTAAGTTCTGTGTTTTCAGATATCAAAACCATTGGTAGATTTGTAATTTTAAGGGGCACTGTCAATCAAGTAATAAGTTTGTTTGTAGGTACGGCCAGTACACACCATCTCAGAAGGTAAAGTTTCATTTCTACAAAACAGTCAGTCTTGGAAGTCCTAGTTTGAAACACTTTGGGTATGTTCTCCTAAACTCTCACCTAGTATATTTAAGTTGATTAAAGAATGATGTCTGTAATTGAGAATTTTTTTTTTCTTTACTATTTTCTAGGATTTCCTGTGGATCCTCGAAAGGTTCTGATAGTAGCTGGCCATCATAACTGGATTGTAGCTGCATATGCCCATTTTGCTGTTTGCTATAGGTATAAATAATACTACAGAATATCTTGCACCTCTTTAAACAGCTGTCTGCTAATTGCTCTGGATGCCTCCTCCCTTCCTATGCTAGTGCAGAGCTACATGGAGCAGCCAGCCAATCAGCCTGGGAATACAGCAGACATGAATGAGGCCTGTCTCCGGTTCCTGCTGGGCTGCTGGCTGGGAGCTGCCGCGGCCAAAGCCTGCATCTGGCATCCTACCTCCTCCCTCTCCCCAACTACCTGCCCTATGTCACCACCCCCTCCTGCCTCAGATCATTATCCAAACTCTTGGTAACCCTTTTCCCACCATCTCCAGGTCAGAACTCCCTCCCAGACCCTGTACCCCCTCTTACAATCCTCCCCTAAGCTAGAATCCTCTCTAGCACCCATACCCCCTCTTGGACCATGGACCCCAAACCCCTGCCCCAGATCATAACCCCCTCCTTCATCCAAACTCCCTCTGTCACCCCTCCTTTCACTCCAGTCCTCTATACTGATTCCCTTCTGCACCCCCACATGCCAGCTCAGACCCTGCACTCCCTCCATAGAAGTGTAGCCTTTGACTTCTTACCAAAATCTTGGAGTGGGCCCCAATGCAAATTATTGCCTCCCTGTATTATTTAGTTGTAATAATAGATGACCAAATAATATTAGCTGTAAATATAAATATATAATAAATATAATGCAGGAGCTGCACACAAGTGTTAGAATTTAAATAGGCTGAAATAGGCCTTGAGTTGTGAATGCCTTCTATCTCCCCTAGATAAATAGAATACAACTCTCATGAAGTCACATGCATACTCCATGGCTGGTCCTTGTCTTTTACTCATTTTGATATACACTTAGTTATTGAGTATATGGGCAAATAGATTTATTAATTTCATACTAGAAAAGAAATAACCCAAAAGTGTTAAAATATTCTCTTGTGGTTTTGCATTCTGATGGAGTAAAGTAACTTAATTACAAAGGTTTTCTTTTCTTCATTAAAAGCTATGCAAAAAATAGGAACTGCAACATTATGCCTTGCTTTTTTGTAACTTTTAAAGAATGGTTCGTTTAAAGTATTTTATCTTTTTAGTCAAACATTTTTTATAACATTTTTGTACTGTTTCATTAATCATCTTTTCCTTCTATTCTGTTTCACTCTTCAGCGTTTTCTCCCCCTTCCCCCCATTTAGTATTCAGTTTTTTGTCTGTTAAACTTTTTTTTTCACTTTCCCATTTATTCTCCACCTTCTTTTTGTTGCATCCCTTTTCATGGTTTTCTTCATTGTGTATCAGTAACACTGAATTACAAAGTAAACTTATAAGCAATGGAAAGAATTATTTAGGAATAAGGTTTATCATTTCTAGGCAATGACGTGCATAAATTTAGATTTTTTTTTTTTTTTTTTTTGAGATTCACGTTCAGTTTAGCATGAGTGGGTTCTATTGTTGGTTGGGGCAGAACCTTAAAGCTATGTCTTGAACTGGCAAAGCCAGCATCATAACACTAACATTCCAGCCTTTACGTGTTTCCTTCTGACTGGAAGCGATGGTTTACAATGCCATCTTTTCTGGGGCCGCTGAGCAGAGGACTAAATGTTCTGCATTATTAAGTTCCAAAAAGTTAACTTTTTGTGAAGTATTTAATCCAGAATTCCTGTCTATTATGGTTGTAGGCCTGTGAAGAGTATGTTAATATCAGAATCCATTATTTGATTCTGTTCTATAACTAAAAGGAAATATAGTAGGCTTGTAAGACTGATTATGGATACAGACTCCAAACTTGAAGTTGTTTGGAAAGTATATTTCTGTAACTTATGTTTTTAAAATCTCAGAATCAAAGAATCTTCAGGATGGCAACAAGTTTTCACAAGTCCATATCTGGATTGGACTATTGAACGAGTGGCTCTGAATGCTAAGGTCGTTGGAGGGCCACATGGGGACAAAGATAAGATGGTTGCTGTTGCCTCTGAGAGTAGCATCATCCTGTGGAGCATTCAGGATGGTGGCAGTGGTAGTGAAATTGGTGAGTGTGATAGTTTTGTGCAATAATGTCTTACTGCTAATGTATTCTGTCTCCTAAAAATACAGTCTGGTGTAGTCTACAACTCATAACAAATATTTACAAAGTCTTAATACAAAATAAATCTTGGTACAGAAATAGGATTGCCAGATGGTTTAAGAAAAAAAACAACCTGAACACACGTGCTTAAAAATTTGTCAAGCATAAATAAATAAATAAAACCAAAAATTTGTCAAGCAAAAAAAAAAATCCAACACCATGAAATGGGGACTTTATTAACAACAATCTACATCATATGTTTTACATTAGATTGTGTGGCTTTTATCAATTTCCTAGTGGGAACAGTTAGAAATTCCCCCCCCAGTCAGTTTTGGCTGAGACAAGAGCCCTTGGAGGGAGCCTAAATACGCAGCCAGAAGGCACCTGCAGGCTTCTTTCCCAGACTATGGCTGCACCACATGCTTGAAGAGCGCTCAGGAGCACAGACAGGACTCCTCCTCCCCAAGGCATTGCTCCCACATCAGATGCAACTGAGCAGCAGAGGGCTCCCAGTGCCGAAATGAGATTGCAGCCTCGCCTTCCCAGCCACTTCCCCCACCCCTGCCAGGCTTCTGTCAGGTGCCCAGCAAGAAAAGCAGAAAATATTGATATTTTCTGTGTTGTGTTTTTGTTTTGTTTGTTTTTTTACTGAACAGAAGATGCGATTTCCAGACTGTCTGGGCGAAAACCAGACACCTGGCAACCCTATACAGAAATCTATTATTGGAATTTGTGTGTGTGCCGTTCTGCCCTTCATTTTGGTCTGAAGAAGCTTCTTTTTGAATGGGTGAAAAGAAGAATAATCCAAAAACTGAGTATCTCTCAGCTGCAGTTCAGAGCTACTGTTTGTGTTTGTGCCATTTTTAGTTGGTTTAATCTGACAACATAGATTAAAGTTTAACTGAATTCATTAGATTGAATTTGTAGTGCTAAATAATTGAATTTGAACAGAAGACTTTGATGTGAAAGGCTAAGAGTGTAAAACCCAGCAGTACCAGGGTCAGCTCACATGGGCTGTGAGGCTAAAAATTGCAGTGTAGAGTTTGAGCTCAGTATGGAGCCTGGGCTCCAAAATCTGGTGTGCCAGGTGGGTTGGTCTCAGAGCCTGAACATTTACACTAGGCATGTGAACGACTAGTCAACTATCTGATAAGCATTTGACTTATCAGATAGTTGACTAGTTGCTCCCCCTCTTCCTCTGCTGTTGCCTTTATCAGAAAGATGCACAGGGGAGTAGAAGGGGTGGTTCAAAGTGGCAAAGAGCCAGACCCTGGGCTCCACATGTAGCTGCCACTTTGAAACGTCGGGGAACGTGGAGCTAACAGAGGACTGCTTGAATCCCCTGCTGGCCCTATGCTCCCTGCAGTACTTTCGCTTGTAGCATTGACTGTTCGATTAGCCCATTAATCTATATTTAACATTTAAGCGGAGAACATGGAGACCTGGGAGATGGGTTGGAAATGGGAGGGAGCGTGGGCTATAATGGCAGAGAGAAAGGAGGATCAGGGCAAAACTGGAAGGCAAGGTCAAATCAGGATCTTAGATGCCTATATACAAATGCGAGAAGTATGGGAAATAAGCAGGAAGAACTGGAAGTGCTAATAAATAAGTACAATTATGACATTTTTGGCATCACAGAAACTTGGTGGGATAATACACATGATTGGAACGTTTGTATGGAAGGGTACAGCTTGCTCAGGAAGGATAGACAGGGAAAAAAGGGAGGAGGTGTTGCCTTATACATTAAAAATGAACACACTTGGGCTATGTCTAGACTGCAGGCTTCTTTCGAAAGAGGCTCTTTCGAAAGCATCTTTCGAAAGAGCCTCTTTCGAAAGATCGCGTCTAGACTGCAGGCGGATCTTTCAAAAGAAAAATCCGCTTTTTCGAAAGAGAGCACCCAGCGAGTCTGGATGCTCTCTTTCGAAGACGGCCTCTTTACATTGAAGAACGCCTTC